TTTTTTAAAAAAATTAAAAATAATGGGTTAAAATACAAATAGAAAAAATTCAACCACGTAGGACTGCCTAGTCAGCTGTAATGCCCCGTTTTTTTCTTTATTTCTAATGGCATAGTTTACAACAAATCCATGATCAAATATGAAAATTTCATTTCAAATCAGACATGGACATAGAAACACTATCACAATTTATTGTTCAGAGTCAAAATAAACCTGCAATCATACATGTAACATCACGTGAAATACATCCGTATACACTATCAACAGACACACTATCTACTCTACTATCAATTTTTACACATTCAATTCTGCCAATAAAGATCCTTATTCTGTTGCTCTATATGCTAGGCTCGGAAATCAGCAACTTCGATCCCGACTCCATTCCTACATCATCTGTGAATAGTAGATAGTAAGTTCATATAACTCAGTACAGTAAAAATTAAGTTACAAATATTATATGCACAAATATGAAACTCAGTATTTCTATATGTACCCCTTCACCCAACCTAAATCCTATCTTGTTATCACTATGGGACTATGCAGAACTAAAACTTACCCCAGTATCTTAAATATCATGCATACCATGTGTGACTGTCTCCCAATATCACCCCAAGCATACAAATATTCTCACCCGTCACCAGTATCGGCGACCACCAATAAACCGCCTATCTCTCGACCCCTAATAGGCCACACACACACACACAGATACCATCCTTTCCCGTCACCAATATCGGTGACCAAACAACTTTCTGTCAAAGTCTCCCGACCATCACCACTATCGGCGATCAACTTACTTTTTTTAAGTAGCGACAACTAACATCGGCATTCCCCAATGCTACCAACTCAAACACAATATCATCGTGTCCTTACTCCCTCACCTTATCTTGAAGCTTTCTTATACCTTTAACCTGTATACCTAAACTACACGCGTCTCCCCATACTTGTAACGTTCCCTTGCCAACTACCAAATTTACAGTAGCTATACTAATCTATATACAACCCATACTCTCACACCACAAAGCTACACCACTCATCCCCTCGCCCTACATAGAGACACCCCTATACCTCTATTCCGACACTTCTTTCCCACGCTCTACGGCCTCTCTTTCCTCCTCTCAAATTTTCTACATCCACACACACTACTTCCTCCCTTACACAAATCCACCTCACTCACCAAATCCCTTCTTCTCTCTCTCTCCATGACCTACTCTAGATACTCCACTCTCAAATCCTGAAATCACCTCTCTCTCCTCTCGTGGTCCCCTCCATAAACGTCCATTCGTACTCACACAACATCTCTTCCCTCTCATGAACCTCACTCTCATGCTGCACATCTTTTTTTCTCTCCTCCTGCGGCCCCCTCCATACGCTTCCATTCACGCTCACACAAGATCTTCTCCCCCTCACGAACCTCACTCATACCACACATTCCTTCTTTTCTCTCCTCTCGCGGCCTAGCCTCCTCCATACGCCCCCGTTCACACACAACATCTCCTCTCCCTCACAGACCGCACTCACACACCGCATTCCTTCCTTTCTCTCCTCCCGCGGCCTAGCCTCCTCCATACGCCCCCGCTCACACACAACATCTCCTCTCCCTCACAGACCACACTCACACACTGCACTCCTTCCTTTCTCTCATCCCGCGGCCTAGCCTCCTCCATACGCCCTGCTCATACTCGACATCACCTCTCCCTCACAGACCTCTCTCCCACGCCATATTTCTTCTTCTCTCTCCTTCCGTGGTCTCCTCCACGCACCTCCACTCACACTCACACAAACTCCTCCACCTACGGCAAACTTTTAAATCCACATCAACTAACGTATGAAACTTAAAATTCCCGTACCTCCCATTTCCATCTTCCTTCCTCCCGCTGCTCGCACCGTCACTGTCCTCTTTCTTCTTCTCTCTCCCTTCTCATCCCTCTCCGCTTCGGCTTCTCTCTCTCTCTCTTTGTCGAACCTTCTTTTCCCCCCACCCCGCTCTCTCTCTTCTTTGTCTTCTCTTTTCTTTTTCTTCCCTCCCTTTTTTTTTCTCTTTTCTCTTTTCTTTTCTTTTCCTCTTTTTTTTTCTTTCCCTTCTTCTATTTATACCTCACCTGCCTCTTAAAAGGACGTCATTTTTTTTTTAGTTACTACATCAGCAGTCTTGACAAACTGGAACATGCCGCGTGACAAGGTACGCTGATATCAGTGCCACACGGGCAATCTGCGTGCCACGCGATCAAATAGCCTAGGATCGATCCCACGCGCGTGGATGACCCAGATTTATTTTTCCCTTAAGCGTGATCGGACGGTCGAGATCAATCACAATGGATGATCTATATTCGTTTTCTCCTTAAGTGCAATTGGACGGACGAGATCAATTGTGATGAATGACCCAGATCGACGTGGGATGGGTATAAATACTTCACGTCACACGGGAATCCAAACCCTAACCGTCAGCCCCTGCCGGATAAGAAGAACCAGATGCCAGATAAGGAGGCTAACCGTCGACTAACTCCGCATCGGAGCCACCACCGACCACTAAAAAAGGCAAAATTTCTCGCTACCTGCTCGGAATTCGATAACGAGTACCCTGTGGCCAAATCAGAGAAAGAAAGACGGCGAGTGAGCCAAAAATCGTGGGCAATGTCCAGCGAAGCCGTCACGGCTAAAATTCCAAAATTCCTTCAATGAGCCCCTTTCCAATTCTCGTTTTATACAATTTTTCAATTATTGTGTTCACCGTCCTTTTCTATGCAGGTTAACCAAAGAAGGAACCCCAACTGTAAAAAAAGATCGACAGAGCTGCCACACTCGGTGACCCACTGTCGGTAGGTTAAATGTTTTTGGTGATTTTTCGATTAACTGAGGACTCCTAACATGTTTTTCCACAGGGATATGTGTAAAGTTTGCCAATACCGGCCAAAATTGACCTGACCGAGGCAGACTGTCGCTGTGGATGTCGAAGCACGACAGCACTTCTGTGTTGGAATTCCAAATTTGGCCGGAAAGGATTTTGGATACAGATTTTAGATTTTTGAGATATTTTTAGGTACATGACGAGTGTTTTAAAATTCACAAGAAAAATTCAGAAAATCTAGTATCCGTTAAAAGACATCGTAGATAGTGTGACGTCTCGAAACACAGATCCGGGTAAGGATTCCTTACCCTATTCTCCATTATGATAAATTAGGGCTTAACGATTATATAATTTTTTATTTTTGTGAAAAATTTAAAAATTTTAAAAATAATTACAAGTTACTAGTGAAGTCAGAACCGGTTACTTCACAATTATCTTGATTTTCTATTTATTTTCTTGTACTGTTTTACTTATTTTATTTTCATATAGTAAATGTTTTTAATTTATAGTTCAATGGTTTTATCAACTTATTTGGTTATGTTGGCTATATGTCGTCAGCATAAATGTAATTTAATTAATATGTGAATGTGATATGAGATATTGGTATGCGTTTATTGATTGTTTGTTGATGAAAATCTGTATGTGAAAGACTTGCTGGTTACTTAGGGAAAGGACGGACGAACCCGGTACATAGGAAACCCTATATTGAACATTACCTTAGTCGGACGGGACTGGGAAGTCCCTTAATGAAAAGGTTTAGAAGATATGATTTATCTTCATATTAGACGAGGTATCGAGGCGATGGAATATTTGGCGTCCACTACCGGGCGGGGTATGGAGACAGCCGGTCAATTGTAAAATTGGACATTGGGTTCATGAGTAAGGAGAACATTCTTATGAACCTTCAAGGGTACCAGTAAACAGGTAAGAAATGAAAGTTATTGTCTTGTATTCTCCTATGCGTGAACGTAAAAGGTGGTATATATATGGGTCTTCATAAGTTGTTTTTAGAAAACTCGTTACGGTTAGTATCAAACAAACATCTTAAAGTTTAAAGGTATTTAAATAAAGTAAGATCTCTATTAATTATTTTTTTAATTTTCACCAATCTTCAGTTTTTCGTTTATGTTATTAGTGTGATATTTTTACTGGATTAGTGCACATCTCCATTTTATTAATAATTTCATATCAAGAGGATCAAGATCTAGATCCCAATCAGTAAAAGAGTTGTGAGTAGTTCACAAATCGGACTCCCTTCAAGTGTTAGTGAAGGTTGTCTTATGGTACTTTTGTATTCACTCTTCTTTTCATTTCTTTAATTATCGTTTGTATTCCAGAAGAGACATTCTAGTAACCACATTGGACATTCTAAATTATTGTGTAGGGAATGTGAACCCTACTTCTATTAATCGTTTCCGCATTTAATTTTATAAATTTATTTCCCTTTAAAATTTTGGGCCTTTACAAATTTAGTCGCTCTAACTGTATTAACATACTAATTGGTTAAATCTACAGTTATACTGAATCAAATATTGCATACCAACTATAGCAGACGTAATCTATTTACAAAATAACAGCTATTATGTATTGAATGAAATTTAATCTTGTAATTTTTAAATAAAATAAAAATATTTTAACTATCACACCACCATATTGTTTGGTATCAACATTAGGCTCCATCACTATTAGAAATATGTTATTGAGTATCTATAGTTGGTAATTTCGAAATTTGCTCATACCCTTAACCCTCGTTTAATTTCTAAAATGAAAAAATGAACTAAAAAGTAATTATTTGGAAAAGAATAATTTCCATAAAATTTATTTGTGAAATTCACATTGATTTTAGTTAAAAAAAAAGCAATTATTTAGAAAATCACAAAACCAATATTATATAAATTTTAATGTAGAGTCAAATAATACATTGCAAATTCTATCAAGCTTAGTTAATATAGAACAGAGAAACCAGAAGAAATTCACTCTTCCAAAATTAATACAATTACAGATCAATGAGATTTTTCTCATCTTATTATATCAATCCAGGGCTATATATATCAGTAAACACATATGAATCACAAAAAAGAAAAAGAAAAAGAAAACCCAATTACAAATTGCAGCGACATGAGCCTTAATTAATTATTTTAAGTTCTTAGGCTCATCATTTGTTGGGTGTTTTTATGAAACCCACATGTGATGAGTTAGAAACCTTTGTAAGGGTTAGCATATCATTAGCAGTCCAGCATGTTGAATCTTCTCTGTGGTAGAAATACCCTAAGCACTTGCAGTCTCTGCTACACTTCTTCTCGCAGTCAGTCTCCTTGATTCTATCTCCCTTGTTGAATTTGCTCATGAAATGATCAACACCTTCAATTTTATAGTAATGGAAATCACTCGGTCTACAATAAGTCAACTTCTTGGCCTCACAGCTCTTGCTCCAACCCAGTAACCCATTAGGCGACGGACAGGCAACGCACTGGCTGTCCTCACAGACTCCGAAACTCCCACATCGTTCAGGTAATTGACACTCGGTGTCCCAGAGGAAAGAAGGCTCTCTTTTGAACATGGTGAAGGTTTCCTCCCAGGCTCCATTATCGACCTTGTTGTAAAAAGTGAAGAGCTTTACAGTCCCATCAATCCCAAGTCTGAGGAATGTAAGTGTGCTATTGTATTTGGGTCTGGCTAAGATCGGACCGCCGCCAAAACCTGTGTTGGATTCTTTTAAACTGAAGTCTAAAATCCAAGCGAAATTCTCATCTGTTTCTGGCGAGCTAGTGAGTGTTGCGTTTGCCAAGATGCCATTTTTAGAAGCAGAGATGAAAGATGATGTGAAATAGACGAGGGGATTAACCGAGTTTGGACTCTTGAAATACAAAGCTACTCTTTTGGGTTCCAACACTAGACTATAAGCTCCGTTAGCGTTGACTTTTTCTGATGCGCGGCTGACCAGTTTTGTGACACCACCGAGACGAAGAGACTGACCCACTAAGAGAGTATCAGTTGGGGAATCAAAACTCTGCCAAATGAAATTACCCTTTGAGTCGTGGAGCACCATGTTGCCATCTAAGAGCAGTTTGAAACCCACAACACCTTTGTTGGCTGTGTTGGTTTGCCAGGCGATTGTGCCATTGGCGTCGGCGAAGACAAGGTTACTGTAGCAGCCCCGGTAATTCAAAATGGAAATTATATTATAAATATTAAATGCGGAAGCGAGATCAAAATTTCAGTTAACATCCCTTACACGAAAACTAAAAACGTACTTAAAATATAAAAGATTAAACTAACTAAAAGAGAAACTCGAAAATAAAACTATGAGTATGACTACAGAGTCTCTAGGCATCCCCTTCGTCGTCCTCCTGCGGAAC